TCAGACCATATGTTGAAATCTGCTCATCATGGAGCATCTGATAATGCAAAACAATATAGGGTGATCCATACAAAAAATATTGGTGACATGTCCTGGGGGTGCCATAGGGGAAGTAACATCAAATGTGAATATGTCAAAATATGTCCCCTTGTGAACTATTGTTGACGTGTTTTTTATTCTTCCTAAAAATCATTGTACGAAAAATTATTCAGAGTGGCTCGTTTTAAATGGAATGCACTGTATAAACGATACACATAAATGAAATGAAAGTGAGTTGTTTAGCGTTTCTATGAGTGATAGCTGTATCAATTCCATGATGAATATTTGCAGTACAAACTGAATGTTATACTGTAATGTAGTTGTTTCGAAGGGACCTTTACCTTTCATGTAATTCAATGTTCATATCTTTATGAACTAATTTTATTGTAGTTATTTCCTTTCTTTTGGAAATTTTCCACATTCTTTGTTCAATGATGGAGAAGTAGAAAGCCAAAAAGCTTTTTTCCCAAAATTCTAATCTCAACATACTTCCCTTTCCAATTTAAATATCACCGAACATGCGTAAGAATTGTCTCATTTTCCCATATCTTAATTTTTTTTGAACTGTGGGTCTGAAATCCCGATAAATCTACTGGGATCTCAAATCCATGTTTGAGTGATGTCCTTTCGAATGCTGATTTTTTTTTATATTTGCACATTTCTATGTACAAAAATATGCTCTCTCCAATGAAATAAATTTAGAGGTTTAAATTTGAAAAAAATGTCAAATTTTACTCTTTTTCTTAAATATTTCCGACATAAAATTCTTAAAATAGCTATTTTTCCATAATATGATCTATAAACCCTATGAGAGATTCATTAAAAAACGACAAAATTTTAAAGAATTCATTCCTGTTATTACTAAAGCATTGGATACAAAAACACTCCACAGTTTTCTACATTCCTACAGTTGATCAATAGAAAACATCCAGTGAAGTAAAAATTAATAACAACTGTTATACAAATATGAACATTCAAACAATCATCAAACGCGATCATCATTGAACTAAACATTTTTTAAATACAGTGCTTTTCAGATAAAAGTATCCACTTTTAATAACTTTTGTAATACTGGTATTTAGGAAAAATCCAAAAACACGTCAATTTATGTTGGAAGGGGACAACCCACCATAG